TAATATTTCCTTATGAAAAAAGAAATGAGATTCCCAGCTACCCAGCTAGAAAATGGTAAGATAAATTGGAAAAGAGTCCTTGCAAGGATTTGTAATAATTATTTAACTTGGATAGGGAAACATGACTAGTTTATTTGTCACTGGTGTCAGAAAATGAATATTTCTTTTGATATCTCAATTTGTTCATAAAATGCAGAGTAACTGTCTACTGGGCATCTTGCTGCCCTTGTTTGATAGTTCAGGAAACTGACCTGGATGCATGGTGCTCATATATTACTGGAGATGTCAGTGAAAATTGATGGCAATGAGGAAGGCCAGAAGAACCACTTTTGCTAGATTTATACTGCTTTGCTTATATGAATGGATCACAGGAAGCCTCCTGAGCATTTCCCCTGAGCATTATAAGGAATTTATAGTTCCTTACCTCTTGCAGGATCCCCTTTGATTCCTGGACTCTGTAACAGATTATTCATTTTCCTTTTTCTGGTTAACTTGTCCTGATAAACTAAGCCTATATACTATGAAGAATAATCCTTAGAACTGTGATATCCACTGGGTGTGGTGGTGCACGCCTTTAATCCCAGCACTCGGGAGGCAGAGGCGTGGATCTCTGTGAGCTCAAGGCCAGCCTAGTCTACCTAGTGAGCTCCAGACCAGGTGGAGCTGCAGGGAGACCTTGTCTCAAAAAGACCAAAACAAACAAGCAGAAAGAAGTATGATGCCCAAGTTAGAACGGTCTTCAATTCACTCCCATTTCACACTCACTGTCCGATGCAATTCATTGGGCTCATGTTCCTGTCCTATGCTAGATACGTCAGGCCTTTCCTATGAAAATGTAGGCACTTTGAATCCATGCAGGTTTATCAGTTACATCTAACATTTTATATGCATTAAGATTTTGGTTATACTAAATTAATACTGACATATAGCTAGGCTGAGATTAAGTCTGGAATAACCTAGTTGTGGCATCTTGACTCTTGGTTTCTGCTGACACTTGTAGTAAGGTCTCCGTCACCTGCCATTGTGTTCTGTTTGGAAGAGAAAAGAATTTAAAGCATTTTTACAAAGCTTAGTACTATATCTTTTTGTCAGTTATCAGCAGCTCAGGATCCAACTAATGAGAACTCCATTTTCCCACAGATGGTCTAGGATGCAAACCACATTGTTCATAATTTTGAAAAAGAAAAGAAACAATAAAAATAAGATCTTGTGCAAGCTTTGAAGTGCTTGGGCACAAAGGCAGGTTCCTTTGTTGAATAGCGGATTTTCCTAATGCCACGCAGCTAGATCCTTATCAAATGTTTCTGAGCAGAAGACAATGAAAATGACCCAGCATGAATAAAAGAACAGATGAGAAATGTGCTGTGATAAAGGCCGGGAAGGAGGCCGGGGAGTGCTCAGGTCCTCACTGAAAACAAATAGCCTGAGTGGAGAGCGAGGCCTGCTTTATCTTCAGCACATTCTTTTTATAGCTCTGATCGGAATTGTTTTCCCTTGAAAATGAATGGAGTGCGGGGAACGCTGTGTGGCCTTGTTCTCTGGCCTTTTCATTGCTCTGTGCTGCCACGTTAATGAGTTATTGCTTATAGTCACCGTACCAGGCCCACCATCATCCATATCCCTGCTTTAGAGGCAGAGTTGCGAGGCAAAGGTTGAGGGTGACACTAATGGGCCTTCAGGGTGAGAGGGTCGTGTGTCAGAGGATGGTGGGCAGCTGTGCTGGGGAGTCTCCGACATCCCTGAGGGCAGAGGAGAAGATGTGAGCAGAGCCGAAGCACAGGGAGGGTGACACTGGAGCAGCAAGGGGTCCTATCCAGGAGGAGTGTTCCCCCGTGTCGTGAAGCTGAGGACAGAAATCCATCCTCTGCTTCTTTAAAATGCCATCAAAGAAGTAATGCATGCTTCGAGAAAATAAATGCTCTGTTGGTTGACTGATGGACAACTCATGTGGGAATATTTCAAACAATGCCAGAGTCACTTTGACGTGGGCTGACTTGATCTGTCCAAGAGAAAGACCGAATGTTCCCACAAAGTCACTGCCATTTGGGGGATTGTACAAGTAAAGTCTGTGTGATACTGACTCTTCAATTCAAATTTCAGTCAGTTCAGTCCTTGGTCGTTTATGACAGGAAGGGACTGAGTGAGGCTCTGGGTAGATGGCAGAGATTAAGTTGTCATTGAACTTGCCCTCTTGAAGCCAACAGGAGCAGGACAGAAAGGAGTGCATGTGGTTTCTCATCACCAGCATCCAAGAATGTGAGCTGTCTCAGGAATGAGTTCATGAGGCCATCAGGACAAAGTGCTGAAGCCTAGCTTGAGAGGAGTGAGACACACTGACAGCTCGGGCTAACATGACAGTGTACCAGGTAGGTGCCAGGTGCTTTACTTGAATTGCTTTAATACTTACAAAAACTGCATCTATCTGGCCTAAAGCCCAAAGCTGAGGAGGTCATAGGCTCTACGGTAAAACCTACTATGTTTTTCTTTCTTTATTATTTTTATTTTACATGTATGAGAGTATTGCTTGCATATATGTAAGTGTACTTGTGTTGTGCAATGCCCACAGAGGTCAGAAGAGGGAGTTGGATTCCCTGAAACTGGAGTTATGAATGGTTGTTAGCTGCCATGTGGGTGCTGGGAACCAAACCCGGGTCCTCTGCAAGAGCAGACAGTGCTCTCAACCGCTGAGCCGTCTCTCCAGCCCCCTTCCCTTCTTATTCTTACATCTTTTCTTCTTCCTCTCATCCTTCTCCCGTCCTCATTTTAGTTCCTAATTATGACCTCTCATAGCTTTAACAGTTTTCAAAATCTGTGGCCCTATGGTATTTCAACTTTCCCTCCTACTTAAAAAAAGTTGGTCTCATACTTAATCCTTACCCTTACCCATCCTGCTTCCCTCCCACTCCTAAAATCATTAATTAAAATCCCAGCATGCGCCACACCATCCTTGGAAATTTATTTTCCAGCAGTTATTAAAGTCAAAGGGGGACCTGTTGTAATTGGCTAAAATGACATTTCCATAACAATACTATCGATAGTAGTGCTGTTCTCTCAGTTAACATTCTACTCTGGGAATGATACAGAGCTTACAACAGGCATCCTGATCTCTTCGACTGAGGAACTATTTTCTGAACTACGTGCTGGACCCTACCACATCCAAGTCCCAGATGAACATTGCAATACTTCTACTAGAAGAATGTAACTGCTTTAAAAAAAAAAAAAAGCAAAGAAATAATACCAGATGGGTAAAACCCAATGCAATAACATAAACATAAATACAGAAAATTGAGACGTAGAAGAAGAATTTAGCTCTGAAGGTACAGAAAGCTTTTTTTTTTTTCAGTCTTTTTGAGGCAGGGTCTCCCTGTAGCCCCAGCTGTCCTGGAACTCACTATGTAGACCAGGCTGGCCTTGAACTCACAGAGATCTGCCTGCCTCTGCTTCCCAAGTGCTGGGATTAAAGGTGTGTGCCACCACGCCTGGTGGAAAGCATTTTTAAAAGAATCATAACAGAAAACTTCCCAGAGTTAGGAAAGAGATGCCAATCCAGCTATAGGAGGCATTTAGGACACCAAACATAAAGGACCAGAAAAGAACCTCCCTTCATCATATTGTAGTTAAAACACTAACTATGCAGAGCAAAGAAAGTACATTGAAATCAGCAGGAGAGAAATACCCAGTCACATAGAAAGGTGGACTCACCAGAATAACAACCAATCATTCAACTGAAACTTTAAAAGCCAGGAGGGCCTGGACAGATGTATTTCAAGTTCTAAAAGACAACAACGGCCAACCCAGACAACGATATACTCAACAAAGCTAAGTTTCATAATTGAAGGAAAAATAAAAAAAATCCATGATAAAAATAGGCGAAAGGAATTTACAACCTCTAAGCCAGTGCTACAGAAAATACTTGAAGGAATCCTTCAGACTGAAGAGAAAAATAAATCCATCCACAAAGCCACAGGAAAAGTATAGGTCGTGTTAGACTTATAAGAGGGAAGAGGAAAAATCAGACACTACAAAATCAACAAAATTGCAGGAATCAATATACAACTTTTAATAATAACTCTGAATATTAATAGTCTCAATTCCTCAAAATGAAAAGACGAAGGATAATAGATGGGTCAAAAAGCAGGAACCATCTATTCCTGGCTCCAAGGAATGCACCGCACTACAAAGAAAGAAGCAGATGTTGCTATTCTGATATCTGACCAAACAGACTTCAAACCGTAATTAGTGAGAAAAGATAAAAATAGTCACTTCATATCAGTTAAGGGAACGATCCATCGAGAGGACATTACAATTCTGAATACATACTGTCCAAACACAAGTGAACTTGATTTTGTAAAACAAACACTATTAGATGTAAAGCCACAGATTAATTGTAGCACAATGTTAGTGGGTGATTTCAATTACCCACTTGCACTAATTACAGGTCTTTCCAATTAAAAAAAAAAAAGATATTCCATTTCCATGCTCCCAGTGCACCAGCTCTGGCTCCTGACCAGCCAGGTAAATGGATGGAACTGAAGCGTTTATACTGAGTGAGGTAACCCAGACTCAGAAAAACAAGTGATGCATGTTCTCTCTCATTTGTGCTTCCTAGATCCAAATCTTTACATGTGAGGATGCACTTCATATATACTTATTTATTTTTATTTTTTATGTGTATGTTTTATCTGCATGCGCATAAGTACACCCATGTTATGCAATGCCTGTGGAGATCAGAAGAGGTCATTGGATCCCCTGGAACTAGAATTACAGACATTGTTAGCTGTCATTTGGGTGCTGGGAACTGAACTTGGGTCCTCTGCAAGAGCAGCCAGTGTTCTTAACCACAAAGCCATCTCTCCAGTCCCATGATATATATCTTGAAGTAACTGTAGGAGCCAGGAAGGTAGAAAGGGACCATGGAGGGGAAGGGAGAGAAGGAGCTTGAGAAAAGGGGATAGTAGGACACAGGTTCTATCAAGAGAGAAATGGGGAAGATAGTGGGTACTTTAACTGCGAAGAGAAGAGGGAAGGTTATACGGGAGAGAGGGAAGGAAGAGAGAAAAGTAATACCAAGGTCTGGAAAAAAATCACAGCTTATTTCATAAGCTGACTTAAAAATATACATATATATGTGTGAGTGTGTGTGTGTGTGTGTGTGTGTGTGTGTGTGTGTGTAGAGCTGAAGGCTATCCTACAAACCCTATTGTCAGGCAAGGGAGACTTCCCTTTAAGTTGTTGGTCACTTGGGGCTGGAGAGATGGCTCAGTGGTTAAAAGCACTGGTTACTCTTTCAGCACAACACTCATACATATAAAATAAATTAAAATTAAAGTTAAAAAATCTTTTAAAAAGGCTTTTGGTAAAAGTAGTCCAAAAGACTCCCCAAATAATATAGGCTATTGCCATAGCCCTTAGTTGCCTCCCAGAACTTGATAAGACCCTGTTGCTGAGGACACCACATACTTCTGACACAGGACTTGGAGTAATTGGGCTGGAAGTGACCTGGAAGCCTCCTTCAAAAAGACTAGCTCTTATAGTATCAGAAGGTGCTATGCTAGCTGCCAAGGGAGAAAAATCAATCAATGGTCCTATGCAGCTGTAAAGTTTACAAACCATAACAATGTCCAACCCAGCAAAATATTACTACTGGTGCATAGTGACACTTTTTCTTGGGAGTAATCAATAGCTGTCCAATTGGACTTAAGGCCTGCTCAACAGAAGGAACTCCATGTATGGTATTGTAAGCACAGCCAAGTACACAAGGTTGGCAAGACCCTAGAGAAGAACCTACTGCTGCCGCTTTCTAAATCCAATGTCACTTTGTGCTATAGCCCAGATACTTATCCTAATTTTCACAGATAAGTGGAGCTCTCATCATTCATCAAAGAAGCTTTTTTTTTTGCAACAGATTGGAGAGATGATTACAAAGTCCCATATTTGATTAAAAAGCAGAGAATAAACTACCATGTGGTGCCCAGCCCCAACTGATACATCTACAATGCAACCCTACACCTGAGGTTCAGGAAACATCGTGGAAGAGGGGGTTGGACGATCGTCAAGAGCCAGAGGAATGGGATGCCTGCTGCCAGATAATGGCATGACAGGGAAACCACACCCGTGAAATCTCCACAGGGCAGTTGCCTAACAAGACCTGCATAATGACAGCAGCAGCTGACATGACAATGTGAATGGGGGGAATTTCACAGAGTCCCACTTCTAGATGAAGATCTATAGGCAATCAGTAGCTGTTGAGGGAGGAAGAGTCAGTTTTCTCCAGGATGAGTTCCCTGATAGGTTATGTAATCCCAAGTGGTCAGCCCTAAACACATGTACACATAATCACCACTAAATGGACTTGGTGAGCTCTCTCTCTCTCTCTCTCTCTCTCTCTCTCTCTATATATATATATATATATATATATACTATAAATATGTTATACATAGTTTTACATGTGTTTGTGTGTGCATAAATGTATTTCTCTATATATATACATATATAATAATAATGGAAGAAGAAGACAAGACATTCAGAGGGAGTCGGAGCCATGGGAGGAGTTGGGGGGAGCGAGAGAGAGGAAATGATGTGAATACAGCACTCAAGTATGAAATTCTAAAAAAATGAAGAGAAAAGAATAGAAAGATGAATATGTGAATTAAATGGCATCATACAGCATAGACTAAATGGACTCAACCAACATGTATGGAACATTCTATTCAAACACTGCAGAATATACATTTTTCTCAGTAGTCCATAGAACTTTCTTCAAAATTGATAGTAAGACAAAAAGAAAGTCTTAACAAATACAGAAAAATTGAAATAATTCCTTGTATCCTCTCTGATCATAATGGAATAAGACTACAAATCAATAGCAAGAGAAACCCTAGAACATACATAAACTCACGAAGATCAAATAACACACTGTTGAATGACGAATGGGTCCTTGAAGAAATCAAGAAGGAAATTAAAAAGTCTTAGAGCCAAAAGAAAATGAAAACACATTTCAAAAGACCCATGGGATACAATGGAAGCAGTCCTAAGAGGGAAGCTTATAGCTCTAAACACCAACATTATGAACCCAGAGAGGTCTCAAACAACTTAATGACACACCTTTGGGTCCTAGAAAAATAAATCAAACCCCAAATTAGTAGAAGAAAATGAATCATTAAGATCAAAGCAGAAATTAATGAAATGGAAACAAACAAACAAAACGATACAAGGAGCCTATGAAACAAAGAGCTGGTTCTTTGAATAGATAAACAAAATTGACAAACCCTTGGCCAAACAAACAAAAAATAAGAGAAAGTCCAAGTTAATAAAATAGATATGAAAAGGGAGCAGATACCAATGAAAAATATCTTACCTTGAAAAC